AGGAATGCTCCACAGTGAGCAAAATTTCAGGCCAACCCAACCTATGACAGTATAACAATGCCAAAGACAACAAAAAGGACTTCTGGGTTTGAAAAAGCTATTTCCTTCCTTTCATAACCCAGAGAATAAGTCAAATACATCCTTGTAATTTCCATCATTTCGACAAATACCCGTTCCTCTATTACTAAGCTGTGCTAAAATATGCTGAGTCCACAATCTGCCTCAAGCTCATTCATGCACTATTTGATTCTCCAGATGTATAGGCTGAGCACACCCTAAAGTACAATCACTTAGGACAAATGATGAAGGTTAGCATTAGAATTTGTATTTTAAAATAGCCTTAGGACTATGCTACTCCGCAGCATCTAGAAGTGCCTTTCAGAACCATCAGCCTGCACAAGCCACACAGATTTAATCAGATATATCTGCATAGCCCTCTGTTACTTACAATTTGATAATACACTGTATATGCTGAGAATTTACAGCAAACACAGCGTAGTTCTGAGGTAGTATTCAGGTAACTTTTGGCAGCTTCTCTCTGGTACTTCAAAGATCTACAGTAAAGTCCTCTGGGGTACTTTTTTCCCAGCACACGTATTACCAAGGAACCTACGCAGGCCCTAACTAACCTACAAGTTAATTAAGTCTCCTTTCAGTAAATGGTTTGGGGCATTCTTGCTTAGTGTTTTATGTAAATGGACTGAAGCAGCCAGCAACATGTCTCTAGAGAGTCAGAGAATGCATGTGCTTACAATTGTTAAAAATAAATAAAATTAAATACAACATAGCAAGACTGAAAAAGGAAAGCAATAACTGATAAAGAAAACAGTGTCAAATTCAGCACAGCTGTTAGTTCACAACATCAGAGCAATGCAGTCCCTTTCCATCCAGGCCAAGAGGGATGGTCAGAGACAGGATTTCAAAAGGGAAACAAATGCGAGCGCTTCAGACATCACACACGCATGCACATGTACACACACAGCATGCAACAGCCACCACAAGCAAACACAACAATCCAGAACTGGCACAAAGCGCAGGTGGATGCTACAAAGTGCAGTGAGGGCTACAGTATCAAGATGAGAGCTGGTGAAGCAACACAACCCTAACAAAAATACCAAAACAAACCCGAAAGAAAAACAAAAAAAGGGCAATTGCTAGGAAAACAAAAACAAAAACGTATCCTTCCAGGCACAATCACCCCATCTTAGACCCTCGTGAATGCACATGGATCTCTGGAGCGTGTGAAATCCCAGGGATGTTATGGTGACCCACATGTCCCATCTTGGTCCTGTTTCTCATGCCACACCACCAAAGTGTGAATATTTAGATTACTTCCTCCAAGGTCAAGGAAATTAGAAGGATATTCACGGTTTAAGTGTCTGGCAAACCACTAAACACCAGCATGACAAACCGATTCACAGGCTTTCAGCTGTTCGTGGTATCGTGGTTGGTCAAACATTTATGCACACGCACACAATTTTGGTTTTGCTTTTTTGTATTTTTTGTTTTTTGAAATGTGTGCTTTGGAAAGGAAGCGTATATACAAAGTGACACCAATTCCACTCTCTTAACATGAGTAATCTGTTTTTCCCATTCTCCAGCTGATTTACGTTTATGAAACCTGTGACCCTTTGACAAAGGAGTCAGGAAAGGGGGTTCCAAAGATGGCATCTGTTTTATGCAAAGCAATGTATCCATGAAGGAGTTGTTCCTGTAGTCCAAAAACAGAAGACAGCCAGAAGTGTTCAAGTACTTTTGAAAAAGATTTAAACTGAAGGCAAATCCTCCTCCACAACTCAAACTGATTTATGTCAATTTACAGAACTGAGAATTTTACCCCATAAAAACAGAGAGCAAGCAGAGGAGGAGAGTCTCCTCTAAGATACAAAACCCATTATTTGAAAAAAATGAAGTGGATTGTAACAATTAGAATCCTGAACCTGTAATTTCCTTTCATCTAAAATCCAAAGGTGCAGAATTCCATAAATACGCAGCTTCTGGTGAGCACGTGTCAGTACTGTGCCACTGTCGCTCCACTAAAGGCAGCTCTGATTTTCAAAGAGCAACAGCCAGTCTGCATTCTGAGCACCTAGAGGAGTTGCACCAGTACAGCGATTTAAACTTTATTAACACTTAACTCCAGTGGATTCCAGATTTTCTCTTGGTGCTGCAAGCACTTGCGTAGCACCCTGTGGTCACCAGGACACCACCTTGTTGGTTTATCAGCTTCACCCGAGTTACCTGCTCACAAGGACCAGGCACCCAAGCAGGGCAACACTGACGTGCATGCTGTCTTTACAACTTCAGAGAACTTCAAAACTCACATGGATCCATGTTTAAACCTGGGATTGCTTTTACTTTTATGTAGGAAGGATGAACAGAAACTTTACGGAAAAGGAAAAACGCAGCCCTATAAACCAAAATTCCCAGTTTGAAAGCCCCTCGAGACTAAGTTTAAATGTAAGAAGCAAAGATTAGGATAGGGTTTGTTTATAACAAAAGCTTCCCTGAACCAGATGAAGAAACCAAAGCAGATTTATTAAAAATGCTGGAGCTAGCGAAAAATGTACTAAATACAAAGCAAAATCTACTCTTAAAAGAAACTTCTTATAAATTAAAGAAAATCCATATGCACACTCAACACCAAAGCTGCATTGTAATATTGTACACAGCCACAATCTTAAAACTAAACATTATATACAGAAAATATTTACACAAATATAAGAAACCCGTTTAATTATTGGACTTCACAGTGGTAAGTGAATTTTAGTAGACTCCTATTGCAATGGCATGAACATAAATGGAATACAGCCTGTATGTGGAATTTTCTAAACTCCATCCGTGACAGATAACGAGGAATCCCTGAGTTTATTACACGTCTGGATAAGGCTGCAATACAAAACCCACTGTCAACCATTTTATCACCCGAAACTTTTCAAATGCTCTGTGCTGTTAAGCCACTGGCATATGGATTCACTAAACGGGGCAAGAATTAAGTTGACTCTACATAAGCACCATCCATCCGCTTAGGAGTTGAAAAGAGCACTATGAAGTTAGTAAAAAGAAAAAAAGTCAGAGTCTCCTTCCAGTCAGCCTAAGTCCCTGCAGCTCCCACCTGAAAATTATTTAAGGAACAAACAGAAGTTTTAATTCACATTTCAACTGTAGAAAGAGAATTCTGCATCGCTGCCAGTACTGTACCAACTGTACTTACCACTGCTCAGCTTTTACATCCTGCGTTACGTGGACACAAGCAAAAGGACCGATACAGAAGCAGAACTTAGCCACCACCAAGGATGTGGGCCACATGAGAGTTACGATGGTACAAGACACTATTCCTGATACAAGTCTGGGAGATGTATGTTGAAGAACCAATTGTTATCACAGGCCACGTAAAAAGCTTCCAAATGTCTTATTGAATCTAAAATATTACTTGTGTGCTGAAGGGCAAATGGTGCATGCAGACATGGAATGTCTGGGTATATGAAAAGAACTCTGCCATTAATCCTAGTCAACCTCATTTCATCTGTCTGCCTCAGCCTCTTCATCTACAAAGCGGTGATAATTGTACTTACCCATGTCTGTAAAATGCCTCAATATGAAACACTACAGAGGTAAGCCACGAAAGACTATTTCATATTCTGGTGGAAAATGGGATGAGAGGTTCAGCTCAAGCCATTCCCAATTTTTTTCCCCATGTCTCCTTCATACCAGACACACATCAAGGAACAATCACTGGGGCTACAAGTGTATTGCAGGATAAGAAAACTGTGTTAGACAATCAGCTTTCACACAGCACTTTTTTTTTTTTTTTAAATGTCACTCTGCACTTGTGACACATGCCATTTTTTCTTCACAATTCACATCCAGAACAAGAGCAATCTATATCTACTGCCCATTTCACTCAGAAAAAGAATGAAAGAGGAAAAGAATGAAAGGGGAGTGCAGAGAGATTTCATTGTCTATACTATTTTTTATGGTCAATACATGGAGATGGAAGGTAAATCACATATGAGTAAAGATAGCAGGCAAAGATTCATGGTACAGAAATCAGTTTACACAACAAAGCAGTCACCTAAGAAAGTTTAACAAAAGAAGAGGTGATACACTCCAGGTACCAACAGTCAGACTTGTAGCGTGACCACAGTAGGTCGTCTTATTGATGTGCATTCCTGTGTCAGTACAGGCAACAATCTCACCTACTCGGGACAGAGAGCATGCACAGAGAGGTTGTCAACGAAATCCTGCCTCTGACTCCAGGCAAAGGAGAAACAGCACAAAAGCCCACATCCCCCTTACAAAGGAGATGGCCAATCTCACACCCCTCATCAGAAAGCCACCAGAAACCCTTCTCCATGCTCATCTCTAGCATGCACTTGCTACAGGCCTGTAACTAGTGACACTGGCGTCTGGGCCCTTACCTGCCCTGAAGCTCCCATCTGAGCAGCTTGGGCCTGAGCTGCTTGCACTGCTGCCGCTGCCTGCTGCTGCTGGACCAGCTGAGCTCTTACCTTGAGTAGGAAAAGAAAGAATGAAGTAAACATACGTATTTGGTTAGGGTATGCCACTTCTGTTTCAACTATATTGACTATACTCATTAAATAGGGTGTGGAGACAAGATCAGCCGCACATACATACTCTGCCTAGAGTTTTTGAGCTTTCTTTATGAAAACAAGTTCCCACGTTTCTAACATTTAGAACAGTCTTCCCATAGACTGTGCACCCAAGATTCGATTTCTTCTTGCAACTTCTTCCCTGTACTATCAGGTCTTCCTATGACAATACTAGATACTGCAGCTTGCTGGCACACAGTTAACCACACACGTGTTGATTTCCCTCAAGCACACTGTATTAAGCACCTACCAATGACCAGCATTTCAAAATTTATGCATTCACTCTGACTGTCAGTGCGATGCACATGGCTTTTAACTACTCCTAGCTTAGCCGGCAGGAGCACAAAGTGGATGTATTGACTCGTCCACGTGGGGTCAATCTCAAGTGCGGCTGACACTCCACTCCTCCCCAGCAAGGCCCAAAGAAAAGCAGGTCTTGGGATTACAGCTGAGCTTTTGCTCAACCGCACATACGGAGCCCAGAAAAAACTGACTGTAATGCAACAGTTCAAAAAGCCGCACCATTAAGAGGATGACTCAGCAAGAGGCTCAGTGGAGTAAAACTACTGTCTTGTCTACATTCTCCCCAAGGCAGGAACTACCGGTATCTTAAACTTTGACCAAAACCCTTGCTCATGTTCTAGAACAGCAAACATCATGGAGGTAATTTTTCTTTAACCAGAGTTTGCTTCTTTTTCTTTTTTTTTTTTACCTGTCCATTCAAGAGTAAGACAAGAAATTATTTTTAAATATTAGCTGCATAAATGGTTTTCACAGATTTCCAGAAGTCCTACTCTTAGACACAGAACTGTTCTCTACTGGCAGGCCCAAACCTTTAAACCTTTAAACTCTCCATACTCGTAACATGCTAACTACAGATCTCTTAATAAGCTATGTTTTTTTCCTACTTCATTATTAGCAAAAGTTGAAGATTTTTTTTATTTCTCTGGAGGGTCATAATGAACCAATAATCAGCTGGTCACTAGCCCTTACCTGCATTGCTTTTAATTGCTGTGGCGTAAGAGTAACAGGCATAACCTGGCTAGGAATTTGTCCTGAGATTGCCTGTGGCTGAGAAACCATGGGCTGGGGTTGAGGCTGGGACTGTGGTGGAAGCTGAGGCTGTTGTGCCTGAGCAACCTGTTGTTGTTGCTGCTGCTGCTGCTGTTGCTGCTGTTGTTGTTGCTGCTGCATCTGTTGCATCTGCTGTTGCATTACTTGTTGAGGTGGCTGCTGCTGTATCTGTTGTTGCGGTATTTGTTGCTGCTGTTGCTGCTGCTGCTGTTGCTGCTGCTGTTGTGCCTGCATAGCCTGTGCTGCCTGCAGCTGCTGCATTTGGGCAATTCGCTGTAGTTGCTGCTGCTGCTGTTGCTGCTGCATCTGAAAAGCAGGAAAAGCCAGGATGCTAAAGCTTCCAGCAATGCGATAGCAGCCTTATTTTTATAGCATAAACCAAGAGCAAACAGAGCTGAGGTTTTAAGTCCAAAGGGAAAGCCCAACCTCTTTTTACCCGCTCACTCTTCATATATCTCAACTCTACACAGTGCACATTCTGTGGTTTCAATACTACAAGCTTGTCTCGCTACGAAAACAGTTTTCAAAAGCAAAGATAAAGTCCATCAGCTTCTCCTGTACAAATGGGCTCAGAAGCACTTCTTCAAATGTAACCAGCCTTCATCAGCACCGCTATTTACCAGAAACTGCACAAGAGCATGACAGCTGAAGTTTCCTCTTCTGCTTTTGTGCCTAAGGACGATACATGTATATGATGTGCTCAGCACATATTTTTTAAAGCGGCAATGTGTAATTCACACAATGACAAAACAGCCACTATTTCTAGAGTAATACAAGTGCTTTTAGTTCTTTCCTACATCCCTGTTCTTGTCAGAATGAAAGACTGTCCTGATGTTTATGAAGAGAAAGAGACAAAGGTTTTAATTCTCTATTGCTATGACAGAAGAAAGCAACCAAACGACTGTTAAGCCTTTCCTCTGGGATGAAATATATTGTTGCCAATTAACTTGCAAGTCTAAACTGAAGCCCTACCCTAAAGTAGAAATGCATTAATAACAGGCAGCGCTGATATTCAGTACTTCCATGCAAGCCAAGCCTCACTTGACAAGTAACTGAACACAGATCACCTCAATTGCCATTGTAATTGTTTGTCATCACCTGCTGTTGGTTTTGCTGCTGCTGCTGCATCTGCAGTTTCAGCATGTGCTGTTGCTGCTGCTGGACGGCTTGCAACTGCTGCTGTTGCTGCTGCTGCTGCTGCTGGGCTGCTGCAGCTGCTGCTGCCTGCTGCTGCTGGACCTGAAACTGTTGTTGCATGGCTGACTGCTGGGCCTGGAATTGCTGCTGCTGCAAAGCCACCTGCTGCTGCTGGAATTGCTGCTGCTGCTGCTGTTGCTGCTGAGCTATCTGCTGAAGCTGAAGCTGGGCTAAAAAGAAGGTAGACTGTACTTAAAACATGAGACCCAAACAGTGTCAGAGACAGTTACCCAGTATAAGTCACAATAATTGAAGAAAATCCCCAAAGTACATTAACATTCTTCATTAGCAGCATATACTTTTGCTTCCTCAAATGGACGAGGCACATGAACAGCAGAATTAATGACACTTCCTACTACCAACTTCTAATTCTCACTGCCTATAGTGAGTCAGCAACCTAGGCAAAGAATGTCAAAATGTGCAGGAGGAAATATGCACAGAGGTCACCAGCAGGAAGCACCATACCCACAGAAAACATTGGTGAGCTCTACAAAAACAACGTTCTGAAGTTGACATCTTGTAGGATGAAAGAAGCATTTGCTCATACAACAGCTAGACTGTTCCGCACTATGCTAAGGAAGACATTTATCCCATTATGTAGCAGTATTTGAAATCACTTCTTCCTGCAGGTCACCTGCCTGATTTAGCCAGAAGTACGAAATCTCTTCAGCACCCTCTCCTTGTGGAAGAGAGTTACGTACTGAAAGGCTGATCTAATAGTTTCAGCGGTTACGGCAAACTTAACACTTACTCTGCTGAGTAGCTGTGGAGACACCAGGCATACCATGAGGGGCCATTCCCGAGGTTCCCGGAGGCTGCTGCTGCCCTGGGAGACTCATCTGTTGTCCCATTGGGCCAAGGCCACTCATCCCACTCATCGCTGCTCCCTGAGCTCGGGAAGCCATGCCCATTCCAGGCGCCCCTGCTGGGGGACCCCCAGTGAGATTCTGCAGGGCATTCATCGGATCTACAAAGAAAATAGTTACCAATATGCAGCCAGCCATGCAATTGCCTCCCCAAAATCCTCTGTTCTCCATCATCCACTTTCCGATCGGTCAGCTTCAGACCACGACTAGATGCAACACCCTGAGAATCTAACATTCACTCCTCTGCCTGTGAGGCACGTTTTGGCCCCTCTGTAAATAGCGTGGAGATTACTAAAGTGCTTCAGATTTGCAAAGTTCCAAATAGATTCTAAATACATTAGAGAAAAGGAACTTCGTAGCCACCTCTGAATTTATATGCAAGTCAAAACAAGCTGCCAACAGAACTCCACGAGGATATCCAGCTTGGGGATATCCTCAAAAACCGAGAAGAGAGTCCCACTGAGGATCCAGTTAGCCTCTTCCTCCCGAGGTCAACACGGAGCAGCAGTGCTCAGACCAGAGGAAGTACTTTGCTATACAGTTCCCCCCACAACATCACATTTATTATGCAGTGGATAAATTCAGTGCCGTTCAAGACAATTGTCATCATCTGAACCCTGGGCACACAGAAAAGTGAAGTCAAAGAGGGAATGGCAATTCGAGAGGGCAAAACACAACATGCGGTTCAGAAGCAACATTAATCAGGTACAGAATGCAGCACCCCGTCTTTCTTAAGAATACTTATAAAATAATTTCCAGCTGTCTAAGCTGGATGCTCATCAATCACAGGCTGCATATTTAGCCTACAGGGGTATAAAAATGGAGGTTTATACTGTGCTCCTACCATACCCTGCTGTAAGAATTAGCACAGAGGCGGAAGACATGCTCAGATCTAACCTTGGTCAAATGGCAGTGCGTACGCCCCACAAACACAATGCTTGCCTCTGATGCAACCCACTGAGGCACTACCAGGGAGAAACCTGGACTGCTCAGCAGGAGCTTATTTTCACTCACTCTTGTTCTTTCAAGAATCTTAGTGTTGAGAGCTAACAAAGTACAAACAGGGAAACAAACGAGTTTCCTGTGTTACATCCAAAACGCTGTCCAAGCCTGACACCCCCATCACTGAACAACTCCAAGACGATCATGCTACCTTTCCTTTCCTCCAGCAGCATTTAATATTCCAGCTAGGGAATCCACAGCCTTCTTATTCTTAGTACACCCCAGCCCTGATTTCAAAGCCGTTCTACTTAGAAAGGCGGGGGGAGGGGGAGGGGGAAAAGGAGCTCTTACCACTGACCGATGCTTGAGATTTCTTATTGTCTGCAAAGGAAGAACAATTAATTGCCTTTGTTAATCTTGTCACACATAAATTTGGCCTTTCAGATATACTCTCTACGAGAAATACATTCACATAAAAATTAAAAAAAAAAATAAAAAATCACTGCCTACTGTAGTTCTAGAAAAATACATTAACCTAAGCCAATTTGGGAACCAGAACACTACATGAACAATGGAAAGAAAGCAGAAATACAGGAAAAAATTAGCAAGGTGGAAAAAGTAGTAAGTTTAAATAATTTCTCAAAGACTTTTCAATTATAGATGGATGTGTAACAGAAACAGTATTTACAAATTAAGCATGTACATTACAGGAAAATTTTTAAAGCAACTTGTGAAGAGTCACATGCAGAACCACACATACAAACCCTGAAGTTTACTTTTTTTGGGAGGATGGCATAAGCAATCCCATTACTGAGGACAAAAACCCAAAACCAAACAATTACTTACGAATATCTCGAAAATGGATAATAAGTCTGGCCACAAGAGAAAGATATTCCTCCTAAAGGTGAAAAAATGGGTATTTTAGCACAGGAAATCAGAACACTGCAACCGTGACTTTCTGTTCTTCAGTATTTTTCCTCAACATAACAAATTTTACTCTACAATGTCTGTGGGCTTTTCAGAGCAGTTCACTTGCAAGGAACAGTCTGTTCATTAACTAAGAGAGAATATGTTTACTAATAGGTCATTGTGGTTGATGGTACAAGAAGGCCAAGAAACCACAAAATTCACTGGAAAGAACCTCCGTGACAGTCACACTAACAGGATCACAATATGTCAACATAATTATAAACCAATACATCCATTTTCCACTTCTTATACACTCTAATTCCTTTTTCTTAAGGATTGAACCTGCTTACCTGGTACACTGAGTGACTTTAGTCCTTGAACTATGTCACATTCGGACTACAAGAACTTTTTTTAAGGTAAGTTAGTATTACAAATACAAGTAAGTCAACAACTTTAAAGACTAACATACGATAGAAGTGTCAGAAGTGAAAAGACAAATATTCTTTGCAGCATTTTATTAGCGTGCTTCATCATGCGTAAGAGAAACTGCACAGGGCTGAGATAGCCTTCCTGGCCATGAAACTACCAACTCACCAGTGCAGACGCCATCAGCGGGCATACATTTGTGACATCAGCATTATAAGATTTTCACCAAGACAAGTTCTGTCTCAAACGTGACTTGTTTGGAGACAGCAACAGTATCCAACTTCTCATAACGCAGGTCCAGGAAAGAAGTTTACATTTTGGTAGAGTCTGGAATTGTACACGATAACCAGACTTTCACAGAGACCACAGCACTTCCCTTGGTCTTACTCTTGACACAGCCTTTTCTTAGTCTCTCCTGACCGCCAAACTGGTCATACGGAATGGTGCTACACTGCAGATAAAGGAAATTCTATGCAATTCACTACACACGAGTCTTCGGATAAGAATTAAGTGCGGTCCCATGTATGCATTAAATGCTGCAGCATCTGCAAACCTGTCTTGGACTGAAGTTTGATGCATATATTGGATGCAACACACCTCACTTCCCCTCAGGGTAAGAGAAGTACACATAAATCAAAAATTTTGCATTATTATGTACTCTGAGCAGAGACAGTTAACTAAGTGCATTGGGTTTGCTATTTCTGCAGGTTGTTCCAAACTTCTTTTGACACCCCAGTAACTTCTGGAAACAAAGAGAGATGCTTTACCCGTGTTTTGGCCTTCATAAACACATGACTCTCCATATCTTTGCTGGATTTATTATGGGCAACACCAGCCTTCCTCATAGCATCATCACTGAAAAAAGAGGAAAAACACAAGGCTGGGTATTAATTGAGGACATCAGAAAACACTGTCTGTAGTTAGGAAGGTCTGTAAACCAGCTTTTTACCCTTCCCTCATTTCTAGATTAAAAAAAAAAAAACACACAAAAAACCCAACCATGACATAAATTACTTAAAATTGCCACACTTCAAAATTTCTTCAAATAATGGAGAAAGCCAACCAATTTCTAAAAGGTGACACAAATATTCTTTACAGAAATTCAAGAACACCTGCTAAGCAAATCATTATTTTACCACCTGATGTATTATTTTTGACACAATACCGGGACCTGTTCATTTAAGGAAAGCTGAATGACAGGATTAATGTAACCCATGTCTGCTGAACAATGGGCTTGATTCTGCCTAGCGTCAGGCATTCCCAAAAGAATCCTCTAAACATAAGGTGGAAGAATTAAAAAAAAAAAAAAAAAAAGATCGCCTAAAGGCCTAGAGGTTTGCCCAATGAGTGAGAATAAGGAGCCGGAGCATCATCGGGGGCAGAGAAGAGCAGAGGTGCGTGATATGCAGGGCAGGGAGGGGACAACCAACATGCAAGCAGCAGGTGAAGCAATAAGACAAAAAGAAGGCCCTGTTGATGGAAAGCTGACGGGAAGAAAAAGAACAGGTTTGGTAATAAAAAGTTTTCAGTTCCCTTACTACTCAATCCCGTTTGCCAGCCAGAATCCCAGGGACTTGCTGTCCTTTCTCCATCACACCTCTAGTAAATTGGATCTAGATCTGCCCTCTGGATGGTACATTGAACATGCAAAACGAAAAGGAAAAAAAACCCAAACCACACATTGCTAAGGACAGGGGTGGAAAAGAAGGGGCGTTCTCAGTTCATCAAAAAGTAGCAAGCAATTCAACTGTGAAACATGCAACCAGATAAAGACGTCCTAAAACGAGTTCAGTCAGGCGAGCAGCCCTACTCAAACCCTCCAGGCATTCTCGTTCTGGCGTTTCACTACGCTGCAAAACCTGTTCTGTTTTAAAGCAGCCTAGCAGCTACAGTCTAAATTCCACAAACAAGTTACCAGGAAATACTTTCACCTTGTAACATCTCAGCAGCTTACTTCTCAGTAACTGCTGTTGCATGAGCAACTACCCTACACCAGATGCGTCGCAGGACAGCGATCCCTGAAAGTTTCAGCCCGTCTGGAGGGGGACTACTGTTTTCTTCCCCCCGAATTTCTACCACCTCCCATGCAGCAGGAGTGGTGCTTGCATGAGCAGTAAGCTGCTTCAGCTTCCTGAATTAACTCAACAACACAGTCACAGAAGTGAGAAGAACAGACGCTATAGCCTTAAAATGCAGCTTAGGCTGCCACAGCTCACACCCTGACCTTGCAAACTAGTAGCCTGGTACCACACATCCAACCTGCCGTAGCCTGAGAAGTAGAAGACAGTAGAACATAGCTACCTGCTGTAAGGCTCTCTCATGGTAACTTGTTTGTGTGGTCCGGCAGATACTAAAAAAATGCTGTTTATACATGGAGGTTACTTAAACTGAAGCAGAATCCGGACATAATGCAGAATAACTATTCCTCCACATGCAAACAAGCCTTAAAGTGAGTGGCTCATAAAGGAGCTCTGCTGCAGAGGAAGAAGCTATATCCAAATATTGACACCTCCCTTTTTTAATGCTTTCCCTTTCAGAAAGGCTGCCTCCAAATCCACACTACTCCCTGAATCTCCCTTAACTTCTCAGCCCCATAGAACAATGATGATGCCTCATTCTGAGAGCACCAAGAACTGAGCAGGCAGGAGGACAAGAAAAAGACTATGCAGAGGCAAGTAAAGGAAGAAACGTGTAGGTAGTACCAAGTGGCTGTGATACAGACAGCGATCAATGCGGTATCAGGAACTTGGAAAAAATCCACAGCAAAGAAGTTATCTCTTTTTATATGTATCTACCATTTCCTTTTGATGTTATAGAACACGCAAGACATTTTATAATGACTACATCTGCATTAGCAATAATGCCACTCCAAGCACTCCATGTCACGTCTGTTAGCATTCCAATAAAGGTTTAGGCCAGGAGGAAGAGAAAAGCACACAACTTGTTCTTTGTTCACATATTCATCTGCAATCGACATAAAAATATTTACGTTAAAAGACTGGGAAAGTCACTAAAAAAAAAAGCCATAGCTTTAGCATAGAGTTAAGGATACCAAATAACGTATCATATCCTTGCAGAACACCAAACTCAACAAAACTCTGAAAACTAAATGGTAGCAGCCAATTCAACCCACATCTGCCTCATAAGCACTTACTAAACACATCATAAGATGCACACTAAAACGCTGCCTTTTTCATTTCATGCAGAACGCTCAAAGTTGCGGTTTCACAAGACGAAGCATTCAACACCAACACCAGCTTCAGGAATTCCCCCTCCATTCCCAAGAAGCTTGTTTCCAGCCCAACAACATGTAACCTCTCACTCAGACCAGCTGGTCTAGTTGAAAAATCTTGCAAAACACATTCTCCTTCAAAACGACACCAGCTCCCCTATCCAGTTCGCACTATGACTGCATGAATCAGTTGTTCCAATGACACAAAAGGGCAATGAGATCCAGGGCCAACACCGCATTAAGCCATGTAACATCACCAAATGCTGCTTCACGCAACAGACTATTTGATCACTATAACACTCAGCTCAACAGACTTAAACTTGCTTAAAACAACAACAGGAAAAAGAAAAAAAAAAGCCTGCTGGTGAGCCATTAGCCACATCTATCCACATTACAGAGTTTAAAAACCTCCAAGCAAACACCAACAAACACATAAAGCTTCAATCACTTCATCTTGTGCACACGATGCTGTCCCACACAACATCCTGTTCGTTACAAATGTCAGCAAGAGCAGCCCTCGCTGCAGAACACCCCCATACAACACAGACCAGCAGAAGACCCAAACGCACATTAGTTATGGGTTACCCATATTAGTTTATTCACACTTGCTGGACAGAACACGTGAAGGCCTGAAGGGCCTCAGTCCCCAGAACACCACCTTCAGCTACAGAGGGGAAAGTAAAGGACACTCCAGCCTCCCAAGGCCTTGTTCCAGCATTCCCTTTCTTTCCAGTTCTGCAGTGATGAAAAACCCCTTCCCACTACGCACAGAATGAGCCCTTCACAGCTTCCCAGCATGTCCTCCAGCAGAGGTGACTCGGTCAGAAGCCGCCCCTGCCAAATTATGCCAGTACGACTGTCTGTGTGGCTGTGCCATCAGCAGTACTGAAGAACAACCAAGGTTAAAAATAACCACTTTTCCTGAGTTATTTTTAAATTTGAGAAATTTCTCTATCACTCAGGTTCACTGCATGGCAACCCAAACACTTGCAACGAAGAGGTACTGCAGAGGCAGTAGCTTCTTCAGTTCACAGCTGTGTCAAAATAAGTATTTATAAAATGCATCCCTCACTTTCTACAGTCCCAGGAAGGGAGCGACATCTGCCTTCTTGGCCTTTTTTGCCTGAATTCTCACCAGACAACCCAGGCTGGAATATAAAATTCAGGCTGCTTTATGAACTGGTTTTGTGAAGTGTTTCATAGAGAGCAGCAATGCAGATGATCTCCTCCCCCCCCCAAAAAAAACCCCAAACTTTAGCTGATCCACTAATCTCCCGCCTGCTTGTTCCTCAGTCTCCACCTCTACCTCCTTTCACGTGCTCTCCACAATCTCATCCTTATTTCTGTTCACGCATGTTCTCTCTTCTCATCTAGCTGAATCATTACCTAAATCTTAAGTGAGAACATACATATCAAAACTTCAAGCAAAAAACTGAACACAAAATTAATGGACCATCACACAACTTAAGTTACATCCCTTTTCTCCACTCAACACTATGCCCAGCTAACGTAGCCTAGAAGCAGCTCGGGGCAGGAACTGTACACAACTGCGCACTGAGTTTACCACCACACAACCCAGTTCAGATTTGTCCTTTGGGCAATACCAACAGTTAAACACATATTAGGAAAGGCCTTTAGAAAAAGAGACTGCCAAGGCACCAGTATGTGCCTGCTCCTTGTAAGGGCCAGAATAAAGGGGTGCCCGGCAAGCACAAATATATATTCACACTCCTACGCCATCGCTGTCTCCTGGAACAACCTGGGAGAAGCCAAAGCTGATCCCTGGCCTCA